CATATATACTCATTTTATATATAAAATTGGGAATAAAAATATACATCTTGAAAATTATTCTGAGAATTAAATAAGAATATGAAAAGCAGCTAGTACACTGAGTGACACAAAACAGAAACTTCATAAAAAGCAGTCCTATGTGAAATAATCTAAATCTAAAGAGGAGATAAGCAATTATACTGTAATGAATGATTTTTTGGCAGACACATTCATATCCTTACTTTTTCCTTTTATTTATTATCAATTTAGAAATCTGTTCTTCTTTCTCCCACATTAGAACAATGGGTATAATGCCAAAGTCAGCACTTTCTATTTATCTTTTAAAACCCTACATAAAATATTTTATGTACTGTACTATTTCTCTTATAAACTTTGCTGCTAATGGCTCTCAAGAAATCTTATAATTACACTCCATAGTACTTCTCACAGTTAAAATTAAGTACTACTATGATCATCTACTTAATTTCTAACTTTTCCACTAGATTGAAGTTCCATAAGAATCTTAAGTCTTGCCTAAGTATCTTCATTACCTTGCATCATAGACAATCAATAAATAATTGCTGGGTGAAAAACTGAATGATTCCAAAATCTCATCTTGCATCCTCAATGATTCAACCAATTTTGCTACTGAATTTTTCCAAACAATGTCAGATCCCACTTGGAAAACTGCCTTAAATTCACTCTATCAATATAATCCAAACAAAACTAGAACATTTCCTCCCCCTTTGCCAAACCCTTTTTGCACTCCCAACTATCCTCTGAATGCTAAGATTTAAAACCAAGCAGCTAAAAAATAATACGAATAGTTTTTCTCTGTTCCATCAATCTGTGTCAGAAGAATGAGTGAATCCATGACATCAGTGGCTCAAAACATATCTTCATAACCTCGGTTGAAATTGCTGCTACAGAGTCTAAAATTTTGCTTGTGTTTCCTATCTCTCCCCTCCATTATTAGCTTATTTTTATTAAAAAGGTCAGATCCATCCCAATTCTAGTCAGGAATGGTACCTGTTATGAATAAACATTAATTAATTCTCAACAACATGATAATAGTACATTTTAAATTACATGTAATATCCATTTCTGGCTAAAATGGAACAGACCAACACCTCTGTTAGCAACTAAAATAGCCTGGGAAAAGTAAAAGGAATCAAAGAATTGCTAAGCTAACTGGGACTTGAAGGGCCAAAGTCCTAAAAAAGAGAAGAGAAGTAAGCCAACACTCTGAAGCCATTTTCCCCTGAGCATATTTATCAATTCTGGGCACAGGGCAAGAAGAGAATGATCTGGGCAAAGGGCCCAGACAGAGAGTGCTATGAAGTAGCCAAAAAAATAGAAAAAGAAGCAAATAAACAAGAAAACTAGCAGCATTTTTGGCAATCTCTTGAGGACAGGGATAAAATAATGGACTTGAAGGGTCAGAATGTGGTAAAATGGTAGGACCAGAGAACTTGGCCTCATATTCTGCCAATTTTCCCTCAAAACTTCTGATCAATCCTATAGGAGACAAGAGGGTAATAAGCCAAACTGAAAAACAAAGGAAAATATTCAGAAAGCTCGATACTCAGGAGAGATTAATTAGAATTAGAGTTTGTGTGGGGACAAAGTCCAAATGAATACCCCTGACATCGCAGTGAGAATCCTTGAAGAGATACTCTTAAAAGCAAGGCAGACAAGAGGTAGATGGAGCCTTGCCAAAAATGGTCTCTAATTGAGAGGTAAATTGGTCTTGTGGAGAAACAGAGTATAGAGTTTAGAATCTACCAAAAGAGAAATCACAATGAATATACCTGGCTTGTGCTTGAAAGGGGAGAGGGAGAAGAGATTGACCCTGTGGAAATAACAAACTGTTCCGAACTCATTTGGGCCCCATGGCAGTTATCCCCAACTCTATCTTCCCAGCAAAGGAAAAGGGAAACCCACTATGGGGGAGGGGGGGAACAGTAGCAAATGGAGCCTCTCAACATTTTTATGTGCACTAACACTGAACAAAAACTTATTAGGTACAGTACGGCAGCCTAAATAAACAAGGGCCAACACTGAAAAAGTGCCAATAGGAGAAAGTGATCAAAGATTCATTAACTAAAATATCTCCAAATTAACCTACATCCCTTATTCCTCTTTTACCAGTTTCTTTGGAAAGAATAAGTCATTGCCTTATTGAACTGAGGTAAGATTTTAAGCAAAAGGAAAAAATAAAAAATAAAAAGAAGGCAACACATTAACACATTTGAGTTCAAAGCAATCAGGAAAATTCAACAGCATGGAATATAAATTTCTCCACTTTATTTTTAAAAATCAATTAACAAGTTCACTAGTCGGGAGAGGTTCCAGTGGGAGACGCAGAAATCTAGACAGGCATTGAGGGAAGATGGGAAGTCGCCAGCAGAACATGACCCGTAGGACTCTGAAGTTTAAAGAAACTACACATAGGTAATAGGAATAGGTAAAAATATAAAACCAGTTATAGGCTTATGAGTCAGCCTGTGGTTGTTCAAGAAAATGGATTAGCAAGAGGTGCATTCTTTGTTATTCCTCTTACTTCATTAAACACACATTACTATTTCTGTTCCTCAAACCATTTTTAAGAGATTCCAGCAGCTAAATTCAGTTACAGAAACAGTTTCTGTAGGTCCAGATTTCCACTCAAGAAATTTCTACAGGAATGAGTTTTGAGGCCCCATATCAAATATATAAACTTTTGAATGTATTAGTTAATAGCTGACTCAATTAGGGGTGTTAAAAGCAGAAAACTAGTCTATCAAAAAGAAAGAGAGATTTAAAAAAACAGAAAGAGAATTTAATGCAGTAATTAGAGCTATTCAAAATTAAATAGATTCTCTCATCAGAGTACTTGGCATCATAACAAATTTAAGAGGGTCCTGATAACACTCTAGAAATAAATACATGGAAAGCATCAAGATGTGTCATGCCCACCATAACTGAAAACATGTGTAGAACCAATGCCTTCCAATTAGAGAACTCTGGTAGAGTTGTTTTGATTTTATTGGGGGAGTGGGTAAAACTTGTTTGAGATGAGGAAGCCAAACTTTTTAATACAAAATGTTTTTATGGAACTTGGTAAATATATAAAAAATCTGAAGTCAAACTACAGAGAGGTGGCAGATGAATGGAGAAGACTGATTAATCTCTTTGAGGGGGAAAAAAGCAAGGACCACAAAGGATCATTCACATTTCGGACGTGGAAGAAAAATCTGAGCCAGACTGAAAATAATTTTTGTAAAAAAGAGAGAGAGAAAGAGACAAAGAAGTAACCAGGATGGTCATAAAAGACAAAAAGAGTTTTAAGAACGAAACCCTGGCTAAAATTATCAAATACTAGAAAAAGTCAAGAACAAAGACCAGACTTGTCCAAAGGACATAACTGTCAACTTTCGTAAATGCAATTTTTAAAAAATATATTTATTTAGTTAGTTATAGTTGGACACAATGCCTTTATTTTATTTATTTTTTATGTGGTGCTGAGGATCAAACCCAGGGCCTCGTGAGCACTCTACTGCTGAGCCACAACCCCAGCCCTCATAAATGCAATTTCACTGAGAATGTCAGAATAAAAGTCAGGCTGTAAGAGATCAGAGACAATTAGATCTTTTTATTTTAAATACCACTTGTTCCAAAAAGAATTCCAGGAACTTTACAAGAAACAACAGAAAAATAGCAGAACAGAAAATAATATTTGCATACAGAAAGATAGATCATATATCCAGCATGGCTCTACAGTGGGCCAAAAACTTGATCTTGAGCATCCTAGGGGCCATGTCAAAAACAGCTTAATTAAAGTATTCATATTGTTCATTAAATAAAAGATCAGATATTCAGAAGTATGACTTCTCTAACATCAAAATGTTAGAAAACTTTCATAGTTTCTCATGAAGACAAGGCTGAAACATAAAAAGCAAGACCACCAAACAAAATCCCAAATGCAATTCACAGCACTGTTTCATTTTTCATTCCTTAATGCCAATCAATGTCATCCTCAAAAGTAACTACATACGAGACCAAAATCATGATGATCAGTTCTAAGATCCAATTTGGAAAACATATACAGTAACTATTAAACTTTAAGCAGTCAATCCATAGTGAAACACTACTAGTAAGGTTTTAACAGCTAAAAATTGAAGTTGTACTTTTTAGCAAGAACTCACTATTTAACTTCAGGGCTCCTAAGTACAGATTTGCCAACTCTATTAACCAGAAAGACTGTAAATTTAAGAAGTACTTATAAAAAATTAAAAAGTCTGACTAAAGTATATATAGATTCTCTGATTAAAATGAAACACTTTTTCTAAAATCATATAAAATAAATTCAGCAACTGAAAATCAAATAAATCCCCACAGATCTCTTTTCAGGTGATAGATGAATGAAGTTTTAGCAACTTCCATAACCATCTATTGAACTTGTTTTAAATTTTTTATTCATCTCTTTTTTCAAAAAAGCTACATGATTCTTCTAAATCATACCTGCTAAAATATACTACTCAAATTACAAAAGCACTTAAAAATTCATGTGTGTGTGTATCACATACTAAATTTAGAAGGCCAAATTGTATATTAACCAAAAATAACTAAAAATATAACTATATACATCTCTTTGCGTATATCTATATCTACATATAACAAAAATATTATAATTTTTCTCTTTCACATTTATCAGCATCACTTTTCAACCATGGATAATTTACTAACATTTAGAATAATGCTATATGTTCAACAAAAATACTGCTAAATGTTCAATAAAAATACCTATTCATATAACATCTTACCATGTATATTAAAATGTCATGTTTTCCCAAATTACATTTTGCTTTGTAGGTCAATTTTTAAAAATATCCCCCCTTAATTCATGGTATCAATAAAAATCAGATTCTCTGATTACAATAAAACACTTTTCTAAAATCATAAAATAAATTGCTAAAATGGAAATATGTTAAACTGAAATGTGTAAAACAAAGAAATTTTTAAAACATATGTAGACATACTTATCCCAACCAAGAGTTCCTATCTCTTCAATAAGGCTTGAATAGAACTGAGGAGGAGGAGGTAGTGCACATAACTCTTGTCTATTCCTTAAAGCAACTTCCTGTTTAAAAACAATAATAATCAGTTGTGGAATGCCAGACAATGAACTGTACCTGATTACAAAACATGAATTATGAAATCTTCTTAGTGTCTAACGAAAGTGTTCATTATTTTATAGAAAATCTAGGTGGCCCATTCCCCTTTACATGAAAAAGTTAAAGGAATACAATAAAGGTCATGCAAAATGTCAATTTTTATACTAAGAAAAGAACTTAAGGTTTTAATATTCTCCTGGGCCATTATGCCTATCAAAGAAAAAAGATTTTAAAAAATACTCATCTTCAAGGCTTCACTATCTTTCTAATCCCATGCATATGATGTTTGATATAAAAAACCAGGTGCCTTTAAACCAAACGCTGAACTCTAACTATATTAACTAGATTGATATAAATTACATCTTAACAAACCTGCATTATCACAACAAATACCTACCTGCAAATTTCTTTCATTGACTTGTATTCAGTATTACTCTAAAACCTGGTAAGTATGGTATTTTGTTATTCAACTAGCTAGATGACAGTCCCTTTTCCTTTCGAGGCCCACTTATGAAGGCTTTAAAATGGTTTATGAATTAAATTAGAATGTAAACTTTTTACAAGCAATGCAAACAAACTAGAATTGCTGAGGCTAAAAATTACCAGTGACTTTGAAGTTGCCAACCTCAACAAATATCTCATATGAAAAGTAAAAACATATATAGCTACAGTTACTTAAATATTCATATGGTCAGGATTATCAAAAGATATTAAAAGTTGAACACCCTTTATGTGAAAATTCAAAATCACAAATTTTAGTACCGACCTGACACCACAAGTGAAAAATTCCAAACCATAAAAACTTTGTTTCAAGTACAAAATTATTAAAACTATTGTCTAAAACTACCTTCAGGCTATGTATATAAGGGATATATTTGAGTCTTTATTTCACTTTATATTTGAGTCTTCTCCCAAAATATTTTACTGTGTATATGCAAATATTTCAAAATCTGAAAAAATCCAAAATCTGAAATATTTCTTCTCCCAAGCATATCAGATAATGGATGCTCAACCTATATAAAAAAATAAGTCAAATAAAAAATTAGTCACAATAGCAATAATAGATGAGAACAAGCTGAAAAACTATGAACACTTCTGGTAAACATAACCACAATAAAAATCTGAAAATTTTATTCCTTTAAGTATATGTTTTAGATTAAATATAGATTATTATTTGTCCTTATACTTTTTTCATTTAACAAGGATAGGATATTATTAAGTTGAGGTGATACTAGAAAGACTATATTTTACAAAAGAGAATTTCAGAATTAGAACTATTAACTGAAACTACTTCAATCTAATTCTGAAAAAATTTAGGATGATAAAACGATGAAACCAGATCTGTAAAGCCAAGAAATCAATAAGGATTTAGAGGGTAAGCTGCTAAGAGAAAAGACATACACTGCCTTTTTTATGACCTAAATGTCTAATATTATCTAAAAATAGCTTGGTGGTCCACAAAATTAATTTGTATGATTAAGATTATCCTCCACTTGTCACTGAATGAGTTAATACAGTTCTTTGAATTAACAATTACCCAATATTTCTTTTGAAGTTTTTTTCAGAAATATTAATTACTAAATATCCATAAATATTGAAGATAAAAATAAACTTGGACAATAAAAATGTATTTCAAACCTAGGTTTATGTCATTTGCCTATCACTGTGGGTCAGGACAGTTACTCCTACTTTAGAACCTTAATAGAAAATAAGGCAAAGGCAGAGAGACAACCACTTTTCACAAAGGGGACAAGGGACTTGGTAGAGAAGATTTTATATATATACTAAATTGCCACAATATGCTCAGTTATTACTAGGAAATCCATAAGAGATTTACAAAATTTCCTGAATAAGTTCAATAACTACTCATTTCATTTGGGTACCACATTTAAGACCTCCAGTGTGGATTATATCCCAGGAATTCTACTACTAACAACACAGCCTAATAAATAGACTAATAATTCTTACACATTTAGGTATAATATCTTGAATGAGCAATAAAATCACCTATTTTACTATGATTCATAAAGAATGATAAAATATAGGATCTCCTTTTTTATTCAGAAAGGCAGCACAAATATACTAAGTAAAATGCTGTAAATCAGAAATAAATTTTAATATCTCATCTTAAAGTAATGTTTCTTCAAAATGACATGACCAATAGCTCTATTACTTACAACTTAATAAAGTTACTTTTAGTAATAAGAATTTAATAGTGTATATAGTTTTACTCTGGTTCCCTCAGACCTTATATTTGTATAACATTAAAATTATTAAAAAAAGATAAGAGAAAAATTTCAAACTTTTTTCCAGTGTCAAGGGGATACAAAACAAATATGCTTTACTTCTTCATCTGATCATTTTTAAGGTTATTATATCATGGTCTTTGATGACATTTATAATCAACTTTGGGTTTAAAAATTCATAATTTGAAATTTAAATCAGAAATTAATTTTAATCTCTTTATTCTGACCCCAAGCATTTTTAAGTTCTACCTCAGAGAGTTATTAGAAGGATTTTTTAAAAAAGACTCAAAAAAATCTAGCAACTAAGTTTTCAACGTGTGGCAGTTGCTACAAAAAATGAAAAAGTCTCAAAGAAAACCATGAAAAAATATCCAAGTGCTTTCAACTGTTAGAAGCAATATAGGTATTATAATTTTGATATAAACAAATATAATAATAAACATGTATATGGAGAAAAAACATAACAAGTAAAGCATAACCAAAGAACATAATAATGCTAATATCATCAGAAACCAATATTTCAAAGTAAAAGACTCGCAAGCATAAAAACAAAGAAGTAAAAACTCAGTGCCAAATCTGAATTGGAAATAGCAACATTAATGGATAATTAATTGTAATTAGTCTAAAATGTATTTTTCCTAGCTTTGTCCACTGAAAGAGTCTAGAATTAGCAATATCAATGATTACTTCTCTTTCCAGTCACAGCATCCCAATACCATTTCACACATACACACAAAAGAAATCTATGGTTTTGGAGAAATGTCTAATTACAGTTCTAGAGTAAGATGAGTAAATGAAGCTAGAGCATAAAAGGTTTGGTTACATTAAAAGAACTGAGAAGCCAACATGAAGGCGCTTACACCAACCAAAAGTGGGATAATTTAAGCATCAAAAAGAAAATGAGTGCAGTGCATAAAAGTTAATCGAATATATAACAACTCATGAGTTCATAATGACACTAAAAAGAAAAATCTTTAGCTCCCTGTAACAGTTGCTAGGCACCAACTCATTATTCTAAAAATTGATCTTAAAAAAAAAAAAAAGGAAACGAAACAAGCACTTATCCTATCTTCTAGTACGAGCTGTACCTCAAATTAACCAAATAACTATTGAGGGTTCTTCTCTACAGAAGATTTTCAGATAATAAATGCAGATGACAGAATTATTTTTAAAATATCACCATTTGTAAATTCTAATGAAATAGTGGATTTAGGCTATTATTAATACTGGATGCTAAAATCACTCTGTGATAGGCTGATGGGAAACTCTGAGATGGATCTAAATCTACTGATCAATCTTTACTAAAAGAGAAATTATGGGACATCATGTAACTCCTAATGCAATACAAGTACACAGAACCAAGTATGCTTATTTTTAAAAAAATGAATCCAAATCTACTGGGAACTCTAGATCTAACTGCCAAATTACAAAGAAGATAAAAGTTGAGTACTCCTATTCTCAAAATGCTGGGGATAAGAAGTGTTTCTGGATTTTAAATTTTTTCAGATTTTGGAATATTTATAAATAAATAATAAGATATCTTTAGGATGAGACTGAAACTTAAAGAGAATTTATTTATTTCATATGCACCTCATACACATAATTTGAAGCAACTTTTTAAAATATTTAATAATTTCTGCAACAAACCAAGTTTCATAGTGTGAAATTTTCCACTTGTGGCATGATGTCAGCACTCAAAAAGTCTGAGATTATGGAGCATTTTGGATTTTCAGCTAAGAAATGCTCAATCTATAGAAGACCGTTAAAAAGAATCCACAAATATCTAACAAACTAAATATATAATGTGAGAAATTTTATAGGACATATAATTTGGTTTATTCAACAAGTAGATGACATAAGAGAGAAAGGGTAAGAGGAAGGGGAGATATTACTATAAATTAATTATCATATAAATCTTTTTTAAGACTAAAGACATTAATATATTGTGTGGACCTTATTTGGATATTGATGCAAGCAAAGCCACTATAAGGAATAATTAAGTTCACTGAGTCTTCACTGAGTCTCTTCTAAAAAAAAAAAAAAAAGTACAAGGAAAAATATATGTAATAAAGGTTAGATTACAGGCTCATGATATTCACTATAACCTTCTCTCCTCCTTTGTTTATGTTAAAGACCTGTGTAATAAAAAGATTATAAGTAAACAATGTCTACAAGATAAACTAAATAATCAATTATTTTATGCAAAATTAATTAACTGACCAAACACCTATTGTTTGTAACTGAATATATTTAATGAAGTCCAACAAGTTTTTCAGGGATCTGTAGCTACATGCAAAATTATTCATGCATCTTATTAAATCTTTAAGTATAATTATCTAATCTCTCCCTAGATGTTACATTCTCCCATAGGCCAAGAATGCATTTTATTTCTTTAGCATCTATTGAACATTAGTATCAAAGGTACCAAGTTTATGATACAATGAAACTGATTCCTACATATAGTTCTTTCCTTATGCAATTCAAGGGAAGTACCATTCACATTTATGCACAAAGTAAAATAAAACAGTAAATGACTGGGAGTTGACAAGTTTTACATTCTAAGAGATTTTTAAAAGTTTACAGAAACAAGCAAGACTTTAGAATATGGTAACAATATTAGAAGAAAAGATTCTTACCAAAATCATCTTCAACTCCATCATAAAACTCATTAGATCAGCAGAGTGCTGCATTCTCTAAATCAAAACATTTCTAATTAATTTAATATGTAAATAAATATTCTAATCATCAAAAATGGAATAAAATACAAACTGAAATGAATGTGAAAAAATACTGGCTATGTCTGCAACTTAAAGGAATTAAGTAATAAAGTAATGGTCATCATTCCTACTATTCTTACCAATTTCATTTTGAAAAAAGTAATTAAATCCCTCAAATCTATTTTAGTGAGACATAATGAATTGTATAAGAATGTCACTTAAAAACTTCACATACTCCTCTGTTCACTGCCAAGTTTAGCAAATCTAGCAAATGACATCATTATTTTAAGAAAGAGGAGGAAGAGGGGAAAGAAGGGGAGGAGGGGAGTGAGATGTAAATGGAAAGAACATAAAACATAAAAACCAGACAAATCTACATAACTTTAAATTTTTAATTATTATAAGGACTAACAAGTGTTTATCAACAATATTAAATATTTTTGTCATTTCCTTGACCTTAAAGACCACTTATAGTTATTTTTTGTCCTTTCACAACTAGCCCATATTAATTCAAAAGGAGATAATCATTCAATAAAATAAAAGCTATTATAATCAAAATGGCCAAAGGAAATAATCTCTAAAGTAGAACGAATATTTAGGAGTTATGGTTCCATTTCCCTGAAATCTTTCTTTCTTAAAATAGCTATAGAATAAAAAGAAAGAAAAACAAAAACGAGTTTTACATTGCTTCTTAGAACTCAACAATCATTTTTGTGCTTCAAAATATTGTATTTTTGGTTTTTGTTGCACTACACTAACTCCACATAGTTCTTAACAAAGTCAAATATAAATCTGGTCAATCTTTTTAGATGAGAATAATAAGAATCTAGGATATTTCAACAATGCATGAAGACATACTTACATCTTAACATAGCTTTGAGCAGACATATGTTCACAGAACATAACTATACCTTTTTTTACATGGTATTTCTTTCCTTTAGTTTACTACAGACAAGTAACAAATTATATCAAGGGTCTATAAACTACAGCCAGAAGCTAAATTCAGCTTAATACCTATTTTTGTTAATAAAGTTGTTATAGAAATACAGGCATAAGTTCATTTGCCATTCGTCTATGGTTGCTTGGGTGATATAAGGAGGAGGTAGAGTAATTGTGACAGAGATGTATGGTCAGCAAATCTAAAGATGTTACTATTATTCTTTACAGAAATAAATCTGTTAAACCCTTGGGCCATATTTACTGAAAATGAGACAAGAGAAAAATAATAATATTCAAATGGTCTTTGACTAAAAGAAAAACTCAAACTAATACTGAGGTCTATCTGACCAGCTGGAGGGCAGGGAGAGATAAGTAACTGACATGTTTTCTAGAAAACTTGTTGGTCAATTAGTAGAGGAAAACAGAATTGTACATTTTACTGTTATACATAGCCTGTATTAACATTTTTTTTCAGACTACACATCACAATAGATTAATTTCTTAAACTTCAGTGTATACTACAAATTGTCATGGAAATGGGGGAGGGACCGTGAAAAACAGAAATTTAAACATTCCATTAAAAAAAAAACTGCTGTAATTATTCTGCAACTATCACAGCCTATATTCTACAAAATAAGTAGTTTATCTCCTGTATTTCTTTGTGACTCAGTAATGCTTTATGTGAGTGATTCTCATTGTTGGTTATCACACATAACTTTCTTGTAAGATAGAAAATATATAGGAAATAGGAAAAATACAAATGGATAAAAGAATCAAAAATGCAATTCTACTAACATTTATTTTTCTATAAGAGACAATTCATTATTTTTAGTTGCTTCAATAACATTATGGAGTTTTTGTTTGTTTATTGGTCCATGGTTTTTTATTTTTTATTTTTTATTTTTTTGCTTTGCTTTGTTTTGTTTAAGTTTCTCTGATTATTCAAGGAATTTTCAGGTACAGGACCATATACATTAAGAATAACTAAATTAATCCTGCCTGTATCTCACCTTGGCTACCATTTCTCCTCTCATTATGCAAGTATACCTGATCCTAAGTGATTTCTCTCACACCTTTTCTGTTGCTATTCTAGAGCGAAAAAATTCATTTTTGTTATAGATATGCTACAGCGCTAAATGGGCCCAGGGTTTTTTGTTTTGTTTTGTTTTTGCTTTGTTTTGTATTTTTCCTGTCACCTCTATTCAGTCTCAGGAGGAAAAAAACAAAAACAAAAAAACATCACCAAGAAAGCAACCAACATGAATAGGGGTGAATCCATTTGAAGGGCCCAATGGCTCAAGGATGAAAATCAGTTTCAACAACACAAATGCTACCTGGGAATCCGCTGAGGATTCCAGAAACCTTTTTATTTTATTTGTTTATTTTTATGTGGTGCTGAGGATCAAACCCAGTGTTTCACACATGCTAGGCAAGCACTCTGCCACTGAGCTACAGCCCCAGTCTTCCAGAAACCATTTTGTGTAATGTATAGATCCTTAAAATACTTCATAGCCTGAGATGGAACCTAAAAACTTTAGCAACTATGAAACCACTTTGTTATAACATTCTGCAAAGCAGGATTTTTTTCCATGCTATTTAATTGGTGTATTCTAGAAAATTTGTTGGGATTGTTACATATTTGTATATGCACACAATATAATAATATAATTTAGCAAATATTATTCCTCAGTATTTCCCCTTTCCCTCCCCCTGGTTCCTTTCCTATACTGATCTCCCTTTGATTTTCATGAGATCTCTCCACCCACCCACTTTTATTTTCCTTTTTCCTCTCTAGCTTCCACATAAGAAAGAAAATATATAACCCTTGACCTTCTGTATTAGCTTATTTTGCTTAACATTACACTCCTAAGTACTATTCATGTTACTACAAATGACATAATTTCCTTCTTCTTCATGGCTAAATAAAACTACGTTGTTTATAATATATACACCACATTTTCTTTATCCTTTCATCCACTGATGGGTCACCTAGGCTTGTTGCATAGTTTGGCCATTGTGAATTGTGCTGCTATGAATATGGGTATGCATGTATAGCTTTAGTACACTGACTTTAACTCTTTAGGATAAATACGAAGGAGTGGTATAGCTGAGTCATATGGTGGTTCCATTCCTAGTCTTTGAGGAATCTCCATACTGATTTCTATAGTGATATACTAACTTAAAATCCCACCAACAATGTAAAATTATTCCGTTTTTCTCCACATTGTCTCTAGCATTTATTATTGCTTGCATTCTTGATGACTGCCATTCTGAATTGAGTGAGCTAAAATCTCAGTGTAGTGCAAAGCAGGGCTTTAAAAAGTAAATTTAATACTTTCTTATCCTCATTTAAAGCATAAACCTTTAAAAGACTTACCTGTTGGACTATTTGATGGTATCCATTAAGTATAGCTTTCAACTGCCAACTGCATAGTAATCTAAAATTTTAACAAAACAAAATGGTTTTATTCATTGCTCAGAATTAAAATAAGAAAATTTATTTGTATGCTAACACAAACATGCACATATGATCAAAAAATGACATAAACATAATTCTGACAAGTTAATAAAATTTTACCACTTATACTGTTGAAAGTCTTGTCTTCAAATTGTCAGTATTAATTTTACTTCGAAATATAAATAACCACAATCAGTAAATGACAGGCAAACAGTACATCTTTTTAACTTTAAATTACCCAAAGCAAAGTTTACTATTGCACTCAATTCTTAAAGGTAGGATAAATAAAACCAAAGGTTTTGAGTGCATCAAAATTGTATTTAAAAAAACATATACAGCAATATATTCTTATTCAACTTCCAGATTAATGTAACCGAAAGAATACATACTTTGAACTGTATAAGTAGTGATAAGTTAAAGTTCATCTATCTACTAGGCTTACCTCACCTGCAGGTAAGTAATTTCTCTAAGGAATTATATTAACTTGCCTTCAACTTTTAAATCCTATAGGGACTCCATCTCCTTATGCAGAGCAGTTTATTCAACTGTCTATGGATAACATCCTCTCCAAGTATGCACTGGATTCCTTGCTACTACATTGGTCACTTCATTAATTATCTTTTTACCTATGATAGTCTTAACTTACTCTCTGCAAGTTTTTCTCCTTAATGAATTAAGTATATATCATCTTGAAAAAAAAATCATAGCTCTTCCTTAAATGCACATGCCTTCCCACCCTCTCCTTTTCCTTAAAGTAGTTTATATTTTCCATTCCCTTTCTACCCACTCATCCAGTCAAAACCCCAACAACCCAGTTTCCTCCACTGCACAAATCTATTCATATCTAACCTCATCTTTGCAATACTCAGCATGGCTAATCATTCCTTCTTTCAATCCCTATTTAAAACCTACTGTTCAAATTTTCCTCTCTTTTTTGACAATCCTAGTCTTATAAATTCTATAAATCCCTCCCTCAAGATCCCATCACTGGCCTTCTCTTTTCACCCCACAGACACAGAAACTAGAAAATCTATTAATACTGATGGCTTCAACTTCTATGCCAACTGTGATCTTCACATATAACTTCACTCCAAATCTCTCACTCAGATTCCACACCAATATACTACTACTACTTATTAAATAGCTACTTCTGATGTTTTACACTCAATATATTCCTAAAAACAATCTCCCTTCCACTTTTCCATCTGTGATCTCTTCGTAAGCTTAATAATCTGAGCCAAGAACTTGGAAAGTATCCTCTAATCTCTTTCCCTCTTACTGCCACTTCCAATCACTCACAAAATCCTATCAAATCTACACCTAAATATCTCTGCATTCCTTTTACTCCACTCTACTCCAGAGATATTTAGGAGCAGAATACCTAGTCTCATCTTCTGACTAGTTGTCTGTACCACCTGTCCCTATTTATACATAATTTATAACAGAACTAAACTAGATTTTTGTCACATTATTATATTACACATAAATACTCAGTCTAAAGTTGGGGGCGGGGAATTTCTAATCCTTTTAAACTTCTATTCAGTTCTTATTAGGGCAGTATACACAATTATTGTTTATTGCTTTTAAAAAAAATGTATTACCTCTGAAAAGTACTTAAGTAGCAAGGAAATTACTTACAAATGACACTGTTTTAGATTTATTAATAGGATTTATTGGTAAACATATTAGACAAAACTCTAGTCACCAGAATCAGTTTAAACATGCTTGCCTATTCCACCAAGATACAAGCATGTAACTAAACAACTACATCACCTTGCATTCTTCACTTGTAAATCTTCAGGCAACACTATTCTAAGGTGGAAGTCTTTCCCCTATAGAGAACATTAAAAAAAAAATCACTCAAAGTTTCATCTTTTACTTAATGCTAAGAGAAGTTAAACTTAGAATCACAAAAAAGGCAGTACTTTCCAAAAGTTATCAAATTTACCCAAATTTTTTATACTTAAAAGATATAAGCAACAGAATACAGGATTTGGGGGAAATATTTCATAAATGTATGTCAAAACTTTGGAATTATTACAAAATCAAAATAATATATACTAGGACCTTGTTTTTAGAGAAAGTAACTTAAATACAAGAAATTCAACCTCAACACTGTTAGCAGACATATAAAAGAAATTTAAACATTCTTAGGAAATAAACAAATTCCCTCAGGTTGCTCATGATTGTACTTACTTTCTAAATTTTCATAAATATATTATACAATTTAAATATTACAACATAAAATACTTCCATAAACTGGAGTATATTTAATTTTTCCATACTAGTAAACCTTTAATATATAAAAGCAGAAACATATTGTTTATTTTAATCTAAGTATTCAAAAACTTACATATTTAAATATACAGAATTTTATTCAAGTTTCTTTTTAAGGAAAGGAAAGAGTGTTCTCTGAGAAATATATTCAGTTTTACTTTCTTTAGAAAGTGAATGGGTAAGCAGTTTAAACTTTATAACTTAAATAGGATAATACATGTGAAATTTGAGAAAAAAAATAAGCAGAAAAAGACAAACAGAAATGTAATCTTTTGCTTCAACAGTATAAAATGAAAAGAGTAATAAAATTCTCAAAAAAAAAAAAAAACAATTACCATGTGGAATTTTAGCAGTCTACCTTAAAGCAGATTCAAAAACAGAAGAACACAATTAAATGTACCCCATAACCTTTACTTTCATGGTAATATTACAGTTCTGACTTTCATTACATTTAAATGTCCTTTTGAAAAAATGAAACAAAATGTACTACTGACCTTTTCAAAGGTCAAGTAACAATAATTCACTATTTCATTAAAACACTAAAAGGTATTATGTAGCAACTTTAACCTAACTTTATAGACATCCCACACATAGGTGTAAGAACCTATGTTCACAATTCACAATTTACCTGAGGAACAGTATAAGAATAAAATTCCAAAGTTCTCTATTTGTGAAATCCAACTATTTTAGAGGTCAAATGATGTGTCACATACCACAATACTTTTCTGGTTCAAGAAAATGTCCAAATTTAGACTTTTTGTAGTTAAACCACCTGAAAAAATATTAACTCTTCCCCAAAAGCAGATTTTCCAAGCTTACAGGGAACAGAAGATTAATGTGAACACAAAAGTCAAAGAAACAGTCTTGCAGAAGAAATGATTTAAAAGCAGAAGACAATAAAAAGGTAGGTAAAAAACACCTTTTGGAAACTGGGCATTAGGAAGGAAAAAAGACTGGAAAACTTAAGCTCTTATATGAGAAAATAAGAACATAACACTCCCCTCAAAAGTTCCCGCCAAAACCATCAATTAAACAAACTGCACTTTTTCTTTACCAGTAAATAGTGTATTATTGAACTAGGAATTTTATAAACTATTGCACATAGCCAAAATGTTAAACAAATAATGTTTCCATCAATCCAAAGTTACCATGAAACAAAAACAGAAAATGAGGATCAAACATTTCAGATGACAGACCCAAGAGAAAACCCAGGCTAAGATAAGAAAGTGTTTTTTTTTAAAGTAGGAATGAATAAGCTATTAACATGGGAGAATAAATTTTAAAAGTGTCCAAGAAAAAAAGTTAAATAAAAATTTCATAAGGATTAAGAAAAAGCAAGAAAATTACCAAATGAGAAAAAAAAGTAAAGACCATCAAAGAAAAAAGGGTTGAAGATGAAATCAGGCAAAGAAAGTCCAAATGCATATAATTGGAACACTTAAAGAAGAAGACAGGAGGAAAAAATATTTAAAATTATAATCCAAGTATACTTTCTGGAAATCCACATAACAAAAGCGACAACTAGACACAAGAAAAATGACTCAGAATGATCCACTCTGAGATATATCTTAATAAAGACTTTTAAAATAAGGAAAAAGTTCAGTCTTTCTAGGAAAAAGGTCAAAACACTTACATGGGCAACAAAATAAGATTGTTATCAGTCATCTCAAAGCAAGATTTAAAAAAAATTAAAAAGAATGAAACTAAAATTTTAAGAAATTAAAGTGTTTCTGCTTCTAAGCATGATGAAGTAACGGAGGCAGGATTTACTTAGTCTACCTTAATTTAAAAACAGGACTAAAAATATGTAAAAATGGTTTTCAGACATTAAACAGGACACTGTTCCTTGAAAGAAGAAAACAAATTAAAAATCCTTATAACTGGCCAGCCTTACTCCCAGAAAAATATTTAGGCCACAGGTAAGGATAAGGAAACAAACAGCTAAACAGCCTCCCTAATCTGAGAAGAGAGGTTAAGTTAGAGAAGGCCAAAGCATGTAGAATTCACAAGATAAATTAAGTACCAACAAGAGAGATGCAAAGACAGAGACAAGCACACACAGAGAAAACTCCCATGTACTTCAGAGAATTTCTTATGTGGTAGACTTCAGCATGGATGTGAGAAAACCATTTAAACTGAGAACCATAAGAAAAGAGGATGTAAGTATTCTAGGAAATAGTGTATAAGCAGAATATGCAGAAAGGTATTGCCTCACTGGTACAGCCAAATTAAACTAAATTCTTTTCTGGTTTTGCCTAACAAAGCTTAAAAGGAAATCTTGAAAGATTAAACTCTTTCCAAGTAATTTAACTGTAATGCACAACAAATCTCAAAAATATTTAGAAAACAAAAGCATCTAGCATGCACCAGGTAGATTTCATATCTGACACCAATTAAGATATATTAGGTATGCAAGGAAGAAAAATAAGAACCATAATGAGGAGAAAAATCAAGAGAAGCAGACACAAAAATAGCATAGATGATAGAACTGGTCAAAAAATAAAACAGTTTTATTTCATATGTTGAAGAAGAAAGAGGAAAGCATGATCACACTACAAGAGGCAGGAAAGATATAAAAAACCTGAATTAATGAAATGAAAAAAATACAACATCTGAGATGAAAAATATGCAAAATGGTATAAACAGCACATGAAACCTCGTAAAAGATATTAGTTTACTTGGAGACATAGCAACAAAATATTTCCAAAATAAAACAGGAAGAGATGGAAGGGGAAAAAAAATGGAACCAGCCCCACTTGGAACTTAAAGTGGCTTAATAGGCACATAAGTATTGGAAGTCCCCAACACATGAGAGAGGAAGGAACATATTTATAAAGAAATAACAGCTAATGTTTTTTTCCAAATTAAATGAAAATATAAACTCACAGATCAAAGAAGTTCCATAAGCTATATTGGGAAAAAACATGAAGAAAATTACATCAAGATACAACACAAATTAGCTGAAACCAGTGATAAAAACCAGAGGAAGACAATATACAACAATATATAGAGGACAAAGCTAAGAGCACAGACCTCTCATAGGAAGAGTGCAAGGCTTAGTCGAACATCTTAGTCGAACCAAATCAAAAAAAAAAAAAAAAAAAAACTCTGTCAACTAGATTCTACACCCAGTGAAATTATCTTATAAAGGCCAAATAAGCACATTTTTTGACATAAAACAGCTAAAAGAATCCATCAGTAGCAGACATGTACTAACCTGAAATGTTAACAGAAGACCTTCAGGAACAAAGAAAATAAGATGCAAATGTGAATGTATAATAAAAAATACCAGATACAGCAAATATATAGGTAAAGATATAAGATCTTTTATTTAAAAAATATATTTTTAGAGGGTAATGACTTAAAAAAAAAAGGTGAACTGACTGTTGCAAAGGAATTTGAGCAATGAAATAGTATTAGTTTATAAACCAAAATATAAAATAAGTGCCCATAATTCATACTTGTGTAAATAAATAATTTTATGAAAAAATAAGGGAGAATAAACAAATTTCCCATGCAGCATTTCAGATTAATCATAAAAGGGAAACTAATTCCCACTCTTTAAGTTGGGACTGCTTATAGTTACTTCTTTTCAGAGAGTATAATATTAAAAAGGGAGGAAACAGTGACTACAGTGAAGAAGCCTGACAAATACTACATCAGCAAAATGATCAAGGCCAGGATCAATCATCATCAGTGACATTAATTGACTGTATCCTTAATAAAATGAAATGGTACTTTAACTCTGTGATCTTCCTCTTAAAAACCTATAAACTTAACTCAGGATAAATATCAAACAAATTCCAATAAAGGAATATCCTATGATAGATCTAACTTGTACTTCCTCAAAAAATCAAGCCATTTCATATTCATAAAGGAGTCAAGGTCATCAAGAACATGAAAAGCCTGAGGAAATATCATAGCCAATAGAAGCCTAAGGAGATCTGATAACTAAATGTAAGGTGGTATCTTAGGTGGGATCCCAGGAGAGAGGGAAAAAAATTAGGTAAAGGTAAGGAAATCTTAATGAAGTATAAACTTAAATTAATAAATGTATAAATATTTTTAACATCAACCAAATCATTAATCATTAATTACAACAAACACACCATAGTAATATGAAGATGTTAATAATAACAGAGGGCTGGGGATATAGTTCAGGGGTACAGCACTTGCCTAGCACACTCAATGCCCTGGGTTTGATTTCCAGGACCAAAATAAAGAAATAATAGGAGAAATTATGTGGAAAAGGCAATGGTGATAGAAATGCAGTATCACCTGTTCAAATCTTCTTTAAATCTAAAACTATTTTTAGTTTATTAATTAAAATAATCATCTAAACCAAAATTAATAACCACATTGGTTGGGCTGGGGATATAGCTCAGTTGGTAGAGTGCTTGCCTCACATGCACAAGGCCCTGGGTTCAATCCCTAGCAATGCGCGCACGCGCGCACACACACACACACACACACACACCACACACACACCACACACACACACACACACAATAACCACATTGGTGGGATTATAAGAGAAAGTATGTGACAATAGCACAAGGACCAGCAGATAAATGAAACTATACTGTCGTATGATACTGGGCTGGTGGTGTGGCTCAGTGGTAGAGTGCTTGCCTAGCACATGTGAGGCACTGGATTCGATTCTCAGCACTGCATATAAATAAATAAAATAAAGGTCCATCAACAACTGAAAATATATATTTTTTAAAAAAGTACACTGTCACAGATTTCTTAGGGAAGTGGTATACATGAAAGCAGATGGTGATTAGTTAAAGATGCATACTGTGAGCCCTAAAGAAAACACACCAAAGAATGAGGGATAAAATCATAGCTAATAAATCAATTTTGCATATAAAATAGAATCCTAATATTACTTTAAGGTAGATCATGACAGTTTTAAGATATATACTATACACTTTTAAGCAATTACTTACAAAAACAAAAAACAAATACTTCTATGGCTTTGGTAAGTCCCCTGAAATTCTTGCGTTGGAAAGTTAATCCCCTAAATCATATATTAATAGCCTATGGGAGATAATTAACAATTACAAGAGGCCAAGAGAATTGAGCCCATATGATGCTATTAGTGACTTTCTAAGAAGAGCAACAGAGACCCAAGCCAGCAATCTTGCTCTTAAAACCAAGTGAAGTTCTCTATCATGTAAAGATGAAACAAGGCCTTAGCCAAAGATGATAAGAGGCCAGCATCAGGCTCCTGACTTCTCAGCCTCCAGAACTATTAGTTAAACAAGCAGCATTCTTTATAAATTATCCAGTCTGCAGTACAAAGTTGTAGCAACAGAAAACAGTCTGACAAACATATAGTAAAAAAGCTAACAATGGAGATGAAACAGAATCATAAAAAGAATGTGCATGTAAAATATAAATGCAGAAAAATAAGGAAAATAAGGAATGTAAAATGCAGGAATATATACAAAATAAGGAATGTAAAATGCAGAAAAATAAGGAAAAAATAAAGAACACATTAGACAAAAAGAAAACAGCAAAACAGAATATTTAAATCCAACCATATCAAAAATCACATTAAATGTAAATGGTCTAAGCATGGCCAAGTAAAAGGCAATGATTGTTAGACTCCGTAAAAAAGCAAAGTCCAGAAAGAAACTCACTGTAAAGATCCAAATAAGTTTAAAGTATGGAAAAAGAAACTAAACCAAAGAAAGCTGGCATCACTATATTTGTATCAGAAAATACAGATTTCAAAGAAAAGATTATTAGGAATAAAAAGGGTTGTTTCATAATTACAAAGAAATCAATTTTCCAAGAGTTTATGCCCCTAAAAGTTTATGTAAATAATAACAAAACTTCAAATTATGTGAAGGACAAACTAATAAAAATGAAAGCAGAAACTGAAAAACCGAACAGGAGAAGAAAAGTGAAGGTACTAAGAAACAAAACTGACAATAGTACATTTTTCTATTGTAAGCATGTACAAATACATTACCAAGAAATCCCACTATTATGAATGATTATAATGTACCAATAAAAATTTTAAAAGTAAAATAAGAAAACTTACTAGTTGGAGATTTTAACACTCCCTCAGTAATTGATAGAACAAGTAACACACAAAAATAAGGGTATAGAAAAACTCGAATAGTATTATAAATCAACTTGATCTAACTCATATTTATAGAAAACCCCACCCAATGGCAACATAATTTTTTTCAAGTATAAACAGAACATATACCAAAATAGACAAGATTCTAGGCCATAAAATAAGTCTCAGTAAATTTAAGGGTTAAAATCATAGAAGTTTGCTCTATAGCTAATACAATATTAAATTATAAGTCAATAACACAAAGGTATCTGGATAAACCTGTATCCAGATGCCCAGAGAAAAATAGATAAGGCACAAATTACCAATAGAAGGAAATGGAACAAAAAAGCATTTAAAAAATATATCCATGAATTATCTGACGACTTCTACCTTTAGGAGTTGGTGCCTGATGTCATTCCTTTTGAATATGGACTGTACTTGAAGACTTGCTTCTAACAAATAGAATAAAATATAGGTAAAATCGTGTGACTTAAGAGGCTAAGGAAAAAAGATAATGTGCAGCTTTCTGTTTGTTCTTTTATCACTCACTCTGAGATGCTAGCTGCTATGCTGTGATGACAATCAAGCAATATTATGCAGGTCCATGTGATGCGAACATGAGGCTCCCTGTCAAAAGCAGAAGACTCAAGCTACTAGCTGTATGAATGAATAATCTTGGAAGCAAATCCTCAAACTATTCAACCTTTGAATAATCAAAGTCATCATCTTGGCAAACAACTTTCTTGCAAGTTCGTGACAGACTCAATCAAGATTTACCAATTAAATCGATCCCAAATTCATGATCCACTAAAACAGAGATGATTAGTGTTTGTAATTTTAAACCACTAAGGTTTGGAATCATCATACTGCAAAAGATAACCAATAAAAGAAGTATCATCACAGATCCTAAAGACAATAAGGGACTATTATAAATAATTTTAAGCTCACAAATTTAAAAACCGAGATGAAATGAACAAATTCTTTGATGAACACAAACTACCAAAACTCATTCAAGAAATAAGAATCTAATAATAGAAACTTTCACCAAAAAATTTTTAAAACTTTCTGATAAACAACTCAGGGGTTCAAAGGAACTACAAATAGAAATTCCATAATTTCTAAAAAATGATGATGAGAAACACTACATGTCAGTATGTATAAGGACAACATCTGAAAGGGGGGGGTATGCTTCTCCTCCCCTTTTCTCCTCCCCCTGCCAGCTGTTACCATGGAGCCCAATTGGTAACTTTCCTTATCTTAGAAATGTAGACATTTCTGTGAAGCCCAGTTCAAGGCCAGAGGACTTATGTATACATTTCTACAAACTACTATACTAGATAAATGTTTGTGAGGGGTGTCCAGCACCTGGAGTGCGATTTCTTCCAGGCTAGTGGCCAAGTAAAATAGGGCAACACGAAAATAGGGAGTTTATCTACACTGAACTCTTTTGTAGAGACTCTTTTGCTGACAGTCCTAAAATCAGCCATGGTGAAAATTTCTGGAGAAGTCTAGTTAAGATTTGTGTGTGTGTGTGTGTGTGTGTGTGTGTGTGTGTAGTAGAAAGTATGTAATTATACATACCATTAACAATATTTGAATATGGACTCTAGGTTAGAAAAGGTATTATACCATAATTAAATGTCCTGCTTTTAGTAAATGAACTATGGTTATATATAAATGTATCCCTGTTTTTATGAAGTGTATGCTTAAGTATTTAGGGATAACAAAAGAGTGTCTATGGTTTAATTTCAAATGGTTCAGGAAAATAATGAGTAGATATGCTCCCACAAACACGTATTCCACACTCAAGAATAAATCAAATGGGGCAAATGTAAACTGATGAATTTTAATAAATATACTAGAATTCTTTGGTCACCCTTGCTACTTCTCTATAAATATGAAATATGCAGAAAACATTTTTAGACAAATAATGTTTAGATTGATATAAACATGCTGCTTAAACTGGGAGCTTTGGCCCACACCTTTAACCCCAGCTATTCAGAAGGCTGAGACAAAAGGATTGCAAGTTCAAGATCAGCTTAGGCAATTTAGGAGGACTCTGTTTCAAAATAAAATTTTAAAAAGGCTAGGGAATGTAGCTCAATGGTGAAGTGCAGGCCTAGCATGCAGGAGACCCTGGGTTCAATCCCCAGTAGTCCTAAGTATACAAATATGAAAGCTATTTAAGGAAGGTACAAATTAGAATTGTAACTTTGGGCAAAGGTCATTAAAAATTTCATCTAATTCTGATGGCTGCACCTTTTCTAAAGGATGTTAGCAGATGCAGACACATATACAAAGTATTTCCCTCAAAAACTGCCTAAAACTAGGTGTAACAGGATTCCTTTAAAAAATAATAATAATTTAATGCTACTTTTTCAGCTTTTCTAACCACTGTACAAAACCAAGTAGTATTTTTTTAACTAGGTAATTCAACAATTGAGGAAGGAACGGTAGGTTTTTCTTCCATATGCAATAATGGATTTTAATCTCTACTTTCTGTGATGGTCACATGAATTTGAAAGCAAATATAATCTTTCACTAATCACAGAACATTCTGATTAATTTCATCTTCTGAAACTCCTTGGGACAATTTTCATTTAGCAAGTGGATTTGATAATGCACTCAATATTTTTTGAGACAGGTTTTGAGAACATTTAAAAACATAAAGTAATTGCTAAGATATCATCCCTCTCCTTAAACAGTTATGTGTGCTGTGCTTGGCTGGGAGGAGTGAAGGGGACAGGAATGAGTGTCATGTTCAGAGAGGAAAAGTCCATACTCAAAATCCTAACCTAAGATATCTTCCTACAACGTGAAAGGAAAATATACGGGGATTGGAATCAGCCTGAGTTTAAGGCAAGGTGACGCAAGATTGTGGACAAGTTTTTCAACTTGTCTCCCCTGATCTGATTTCCTCAATTATCAAAACCAGAATATTTTTCTGCCAGAGGGCTGAGGCTTGAGACACTGTGCCTGGAAAACGCTCTACAAACTTCAAGACCTTGCACGAGTTACTAGTGTAATGAATTCGTATGAGAATGCTGGAATCGGTACAGGTAATTAATTCCGTGGTTGTCAAGATTTCCTACAAAACCTCGCAGCTAGAGGTGCTCTGGGACCCCGGACTCGGCAGAGGAACAAACTGAGGTTTTCCCCTAAAAGGAACCCAAATAGCGGGAGCTTGTGGGTGACCAGCACCAAACGGAAGGGGGACGCCGCCTGGCAAAGGAAGACGGCGAGAGTCCGGCTTCGGGGAGCCGCTGTCCCACCAGCGTCTGGGACCCGTCCCGCGCTGTCCCGCTGCATCCCCTCCAGTCCGGGTCGCTAACCCCCGTCCGTCGCAGACTCCGGAGCCCCGGGCGCCGCACTGGAGGCTCTTTTAGCGAGAGTGCAACAACTGGGCGAGTACCTGAGCCGAAATGAATCCCTCATACACAGTTTTCGCCCGGTTCTGGGGCAGAAACAGCGGGAACTGGCGCAACAGGGTCCCCTCCATTCCCGCCATGGCGCCACAACGCCGGGCATGCGCAGTTGCGCCGGCGCCCGCTGGCCCGGGTCCCCACAGCCAGTTTGGCGGGAAGAGCGGGACTTCAAGGGCGGAAGTGAGCATCCAGGCCCCTGAGCCCCATCTGAGCGCCTGGAAGAAGGCTCTCAGGCCGCAGGTCTGGCTGCTGGGCATCCTTCTGCTCTTGATTGTTCAAAAAAGCTTTTGGTGATTTTATTTGCTTTTATTGAAAGACTGCTACAACTTCTAGGTTGCATTTCCTCCAGCACTGATGAATTTTTACAGCCTGCATGTTGGACCACTTAATGCACTCCCCTTCTTCTCTGTTGTTCTCATTCAAGAGTGTCACCTATATGTCCTCAGCATGCACTATCACTTATTCTGTATATAATAATAAATTATAATACACTCAAAATATCACGTACATTGCAGTATAGTTCTATGCTTTACCATTTTTAATCAGATATTATATTTGAGAGACACATATAAATTGCTGAAAATTTGAGTCAACCTCTATCCAACTCAGGTTTTGGTGTACTACAAATGCAAAAACATAAGCCAAAACATAAAGAAGTGCCGCAGTCTGGCTGGGCACAAAATCAGGAGCCACTCAAGCAGGAACAGACTTTATTTTTGAAACTGCCACCAATGCCCCATAGACTCCTACTACTGGTGGCATTCTATAGGATCCCAACAGGAAGTCCCTCCTCAGGAATTCCCTCCTATGCACTTCCCCAACCAATGGGAACTCTCCAGGAGTCTCTTAGCAGGCTGAGGTGGACGGCAGGGGTCTAATATCCATAAGAATGCAGATCTTAAAATAATCATATCATATCAATGGCTTGCTGACATCACCTTTCAACAAAAAATGCCATGCATCATACTACTTGGCTATGGCTCTTAGCAAAGAAGTTTGCTGATAGATTAGATAAACTTAATTTTTCTCTGACAGCCTTTCCTATAGGTTTTTGTTGTTGTTGTTGTTTTGTTTTTGTTTTGTTTTGTTTTTTCTAACTCAGGAATGGGATCTATTCCTTTTTACTAAGGGATGATTAAATAAGAAACTTATTAATATTTACCATATGGCTATTTGATATTCCTATTAGTAGTCCATGCATCACATTTTCGAGTCCTGCTGTGTGTCAGACATCATTATAGTATGTCAATGGTTATGCAAAGATAAATAAAATACTCCCCTTCCATCTGTACTACCGTCAAATGAAATTGGACTTTGGAGGATTCTTTTTCATTTTCAGTACCTCAACCCTCACCACCACCAGGCTTCCCTGATGGAAATTCTACCCTTTCTTCAACATCATTCTCAAATGCCACCTCTTTTTAGAACTCTTTCTTATCTTCCGAAAGGTATTGCTCTATATATGTGTTAGGTCCTTAGGCCAAAGTAACTCCATTTTAAAAATCAGCACCTGCCCACCCAGGCATGACTTTTGCTTAGGCCCACCCCAAGAGAGTCCCTAACTGCAGAAACCACAGCAAAGATGCAAAATAACAATCACGGGATCAGATGGGTTATTTTTTAACTACTCTATTGTACATGACTATGTAGTTAAGTTTTTCCAGCAGGTTGCTGTGCCTTCCAGAAGGGCAGTCTGGCAGATATTCTCTGTCAATAAACCTTTGCTAGAACTCAGAGATGTGCCTCTCATAGATATTTGCACAGCTACCCTAACAATATGGTTTCCTCCTTAGTCCCTGATGATCATATTTCTTGTATTACAAACTTTATCAATAGCAAATGCTCATTTACAAATTCAACTACCATAAATAGTGATTTGGCTATGTTTTGCTTAAGAACTAACATGATATCTAGTAAATTTTCTGGGAATTTCTAAGTTGAATAAGTTAATTGTGAGGATTCAGAGGCAAGGACCCAATGCTTTTTGGCAATTATCTACATTGAACAGAATAAGTGAGATGTAAGATTACAGGGAAAAGATTGCTGTCTAGAAGGTTGCCTCTCACCATATACCAAAATCTTGAACTTGACTCTTGATCCTAGGTTTCCAAGTGTGTGTAATTGTGAGAAATAAATTTCTGTTCTTTATAAATGCTTCAGTTTATGACATTTTTCTTACAACAGCCTGAATAGATTAAACTGACAAATGGCAAATAACATTTAACATTTAGCAAATGAACACCTACAATGCACTAGTCAAGAAACTATATGAAGACTTACAGATTTCATAATTCGACCATTACCCTAAGGTTTTCATTATTAAGTGGTGGACACTCATTATCATCATCAATTCATACATGGTATGCTGGCGTCATTGTTTACAAAAAGCCCAATAAAAATCAACTACAGAAAATATTCACTGTATTTAAAGATCAGCCAAGGAACTACTGTTATCATCATGATAACATGATTTCAAAATTGAAATCTCTGACCAATTATATAAGGATCATCACCAAATTTCAAGCTCTTCAAGGCATCCTTAGGCATGATTTCTTTAATACACTATGCCACAAAAGATAGTAGTATTTAAGTGCCATTAACTGTGGGAAAATATATTACATCATGGAAAAATCTCAAAACTTTGTTTTTTTTTTTTTTTTTTTCAGGGTGGGGGAACTGGGATTGAACTCAAGGGCACTCAATCCCTGAGCCGCATCCCCAGCCCTATTTTTTTGTATTTTATTTAGAGACAGGGTCTCACTGAGCTGCTTAGCACCTCACTTTTGCTGAAGCTGTCTTTGAATTCCCAATCCTCCTGCCTCAGCCTCCCTGAGCCATTTTGATGAATGAAAAGCACAAGTTCTGTCATGGTTTGTTTACTATTCTAACATTTATGTTAACATAAGAAAACATACTGTGTTGCTAGTAGTGGTTACATTTGGGAGGGAAATAAGGTACAAAGAATAAGCATAAGAGCCAGATGAGACTTTCATCTGTTACATTTAATTTTCTTAGTTTAAGCATTTGATACCAATGGGAAAACAAGACTTAAAAGGAGGAGGGAGAGGAGGGGGAGAAGGAGGAGGAGGAGGAGAAAAGTAAACCAGGTCAGTGGATCAGTGGAGAGGAACTGTGGACACCTTTGTTTCCACAACTCCCAACCCTTTCTTAGATCATCTTCAGTTAGCCTAGATCCATCTTATACTTTCTTCTACTTGGAAAATTTCTTCAGGATTTACTTGATCTTGATCTCATCAAATCTCAAACACAGAAATTCAGATCCCTGTATAGTTTTCCTGAGTTCCAGCTTTATATGGCAACAAGGGTATATATTTGAGATGAGGGCCTTAATGTACCATCACCTCTTCATCTCAGGCCCCAAAGTCTGTTGTCTCAACAGCTATTGTTCAAGAAGCTCTCTTAGATTTCTGTCTTGTGGCTCTTTCAGAATTTAGAATTGACAGCAACTTGGTCAGATGCATTCCTGCCTTACTTTTGGGTTTCAGCAAGCAAGAATATCTCCAGATAATTGAAATCTATGTTTGCATATGAAGACAACTTAAGAATCCTGGAATCTTCATCAGAAAGGGACAGAACTCCTCCAGGGAACCCTCTAGATAGAGTTGGCTCCATAACAGCTCCTCCATGATGTCTGGTGGTACTCCAGGCAAACATCGTAGGCCAGGTTGCTTAGCAGTCAACTCAGGCTTACACTTCTTGAGCTTTCGGGAGAAGCTTAGTCTGCAAAGGCCCTGCACCTGCCTATGGCTGAGTACTGCCTATTTTAAAGGAAAATTATTAGAGTTAAAAATTCTTTTTTTTAAAAAAAAATTAATTTCACAGGTGTACTAAAATTAATTTGTATTTTGTTGCTTAACTGAAGTGAATATGACCTACATAAAAATAAAGAATAGAAATCAGATATATTGGTAACATTTATAGGAAGCAATAAAAATCAATTTTCAACATCTATACAATAAAGAAATATGCCTTGAATAAAGTAAGAAAGCAAAGAAATTACATTTTTCATCCTAAAATGTCCTTCAGTTTTGAAAAATAAATAAGATTTGGTTGTGTCCTAAGCCATGCTTTTACAGACTCCTTTGTTGATAGAGATAGGACTTACTAAAACATATCTATGGACAAATTAAATAAGTAACAAATTATCTGTAATAAGAAAATGTTTGATTTTATAAATTTTTGACAAATAGTTAAATTAACAAGAGTGAATTGAATTTTGTTCTAAAATTCAAAAACGATTGTATACATATATATTTTTAAAATAAAACAATTCAATTATCTTTATAAAAATTTAGCAAGACTGGGCTGGGATTGTGGCTCAGTGGTAGAGTGTTTGCCTGACATTTGTGAGATACTGGGTTTTTGATTATCAGCACCACATATAAATAAATAAAACAAAGGTCTATCAACAACTAAAAAATTTTAGCAAACATAAATAGTCAATATTAGCAAGTCTATGGAGAAACAAATATAATCATACATTGCTGATAGTTATTTGTAATGGTAAATGCTTTTAAAAAGTAATCTACTTATAAACATAAAATTTAAAAGTGGTCTTTTTTTGTTATTTGTTTGTTTTTTAGTAAATACCACTTATGGGAGTATATCAGCCCCCCCCCCCAAATAAGTGCAGAACTCTTTATGGAAATAGGAGACAATCAAATTTTCAATAAGATAGAAATGGTTAAGTTACAGTAACATGATTGTATACATTTTAAATTTGTTCAATTTTCTGAAAGTGATATATCTTACCTTGGTGTGCACAGTTTGGTAGAAGGCACAACCTAAATTTTATTGTCTTCTATTATTCTGAACCTCAGAAAAACAGTGTAGATTCATAATGTAAAAATTGAAGAACATTGAATAAGCAAATGAGTTCACCCAACAAAGATAATGCCCCATTGCCAATCCCCTCCCCAAAATAGTCTTAGTTTTTGCTTAGTTAATTTTCAACTACTCTATTCAAATGTAATTTCATGTACTGTAGAGAATATATTGAGCTCAAAACCATAGTTCTTAAGTATCCTAAATGTAACAACAATCATATCATATATGACTATGGATAATAAAGTACAAAGAAGAGTCCTTGGGAGAGAGAG